ACTGGAGTAATGATGCTGAGAATTCAGCTTTGCATCACAGAAATAAATTACATTTTTAATAAGAGACATAAAAGTCTTGCCAACCACAAACTGTTGAATGGTAGTGTATGAGTATTCACGTTTTCTTTAACTTTTTCAGGAAGATATCACTGACATTCCAAAGCTGGAAGATACACTTAAATTGTTTAGGTGAGTTTAAGCTTATTAAAAATTGTTCAATAAAAATATATTTTTAAATTGTTACAGTTTTTTTTTTTTTTGAAATGATGCAAATTATTAATGAATAATCTGTTGAAAAAAAAAACTAGTTCCATGTACAAAACAGTACTTTTTGCAACTTTTTTCCTGTCGTGTTCAGTGACATTTGTGTCTAGTCTGCAGTAAGACAAACTATACAGTGCATTGATTAATTGCCTGTTCATTTGCTTTACAGGCCCAAGCGATTAACATTAAAGCCATATAAGGAGTACTGGTTTGTTTTTAGGGACACCACCATTTCTTACTACAAAAGCAAAGAGTCGGCGAATAAAGAACCCATTGAGCAACTCCATCTACGAGGTGAGCGGCCAATCAGAGAAAAGATTATTCATTTTAATACAGCCAATGCATCAGTGGTAATACATCATTAATTGTACAGGATGTGAGGTCATTCCTGATGTCAACGTCACTGAGAAGAAGTTTGGCCTCAAGCTGTTATTGCCAGCGGCTGATGGAATGAACGAGGTTTATATTCGCTGCGACAATGTGAGTTTTATATTTGTTTTAATGCATATTGTGGAACACGTGTGCTTTTGTTGTGAAATCTTTCATCTTAAATGTAAGATAAACTGTTGTATTGTTATACATATTTCAAGATGAATAAAGAAACTTAGGTTACTTGATTATCCATACAGTCTTTTTTAGAAAATAATGGTAAAATATCAAATATGATTTGTCAGGTTTATTTGTCAATGATTTGTCAATCATCATTGCATTGCATTATATGTTTTGCACCCCACAATTAAAACCGAAGGGTTTTGATAATAAAACTAGCTTTTAAATGTAATATTGTTAAGACATACTATTGGGAGATATAGAGTTACTGATTTTTATATGCATTTAATGCAAGTAGTCTGTTATACTGGAATAAAAATCCAGATAAATATCAGCATCTGAACCATATTGCATATTTTTGCTCAGATTGGACCTCTAAATACATTTTTGAGTTTGAAAAAAAATGTATGCATTTATTTGTTTCTTTTGTTTAAAACAAATGTCTCCTGAAAACAGGAAACGCAATATGCCAAGTGGAAAGCTGCCTGTATTTTGGCTTCCAAAGGAAAGACGATGGCCTACAGCTCGTACCGCACCGAGGTGAAGAACATCCAGTCTTTCCTGCAGATGAAGAGTCTAGCGCCTCCTCCTGGCCAGGCAGCGCCTGACGTAGAGTCCATGGAGATGAATGCCGACATAGTTACATTTTTCAAATGTGGGTAGACCGGGTACAGTTGGTACACTTTTTGCTTTTTCCGTTACCACACCAAAACTAGGCACTGAAAATAAGTGATTTTTCATATGACATTTCCTTTACTTTAATATTAAATATTAACATCCATAAGTAGGTCATATTTGCCACAATTAGCTCATAAACACAAAAAGCTTTTTGTTCCAACTGTACCCATCCGTAATACTGCAAAGCTGCCTAACCAATTCATTGCAAATGTAAAATACCTTTAAAAATGAGAATTCAACAGTTTTTATTTCCATTCAGTATTTTATCTGATTATTTGTTTAGTAGTTCATTTGTAAAACATTGTATAGTAATGGCAAACAGCGATACAATATTTAATTTCAGTGCATCATTTTAATAACAGTTGAAAAGTTGAGTAACAGTAAAAAACATTGAACAATTGCAAACAGCAATAATAAAACAGATCAAATGCAAACAATAACCTAATAAACATAATAAATAAAACAGTTTACAGTCATCTACAATGAGTCAAATTTTGGCTTTTTGCCAATTTCATACTCGCGCACTGACAATTTTCTTTTTCTTTTTTTTTTTATAAATTAGACACAAAATTGCCATATTGTCACAGTTTTGCTGAACAACAGATTGATTTGTTCCTTGTATCACTCAGAAACATATTTCCAAGTCTGGAAATGAAAGATAAATTAAATGAGCTTTAATAGCATGCCGTTGTTCCATTTGAAGGTTCATTTTTTCCTATTTAATGTAATTTAGTTTGGGTATGTTGACTGAAAAATCTGAAAATAGCCTACATAAATACAGTCCAATTTTGGCTTTTTTGTCAATTTCATAATCAACTGCAGACAGTTTAGAATGCTTGAAATGGAATATACAGATAATTCACAAATGGTTTTACAAAATATAGAGTTACAGAATAATTCAAACACGTTGAGTATGAGTTTTCATTAATTAGACATAAAATTGTCATTTTGTCAGACAATTTTGCTGAACAACACTGTTTTTTTTGTGCCTGGTATTGCTCAGAGACATCCTTTAAAGTCTTCAACCTTGAAATATGATTAAAATCTTTTCACTTTGTCCCACAGATTCAGAGGAAGCAAGAAAGACGAGCTGCTGGGAATATCCTACAACAGGCTGATCCGCATCGACATGTCTACGGGTTTGCCGGTGACCACCTGGAGGTTCTCCAACATTAAACAATGGAATGTCAACTGGGAGATTAAACAGGTGAATAAAGTGCTTCAAACAACCTTGTAACCTGTGTGGCTGATGTGAATATGATTTATGAATGTGTCATTGCTTTTACAGGTGACCATCGAGTTTGACCAGAGCGTGTCGATTGCGTTCTCCTGCCAGAGCTGCGACTGCAAAGTGGTACATGAATATATCGGAGGCTACATTTTCCTTTCGACGCGCTCAAAAGACCAAAATGAGACTTTAGATGAAGAACTCTTCCACAAGCTCACGGGAGGACAAGACTGACCTCAAATCAACATCCACCTTTAGGAAAGCAAGAACGAATTCATAGTGTTTTTTTAAATTTGCCAAAGTCATTTTATATTTGTATTAAGACACACAAGGCTTGTGCACAAGAGAGTAAACAAATCAAACAATTCAGTCCATATTTTGGATCTGGACTCTTGACGTATTTATGAGTTGTTTGCATCTGAACATTGTACATAATTTACAGCACAGTGAGCACACATTTCCATACATGAATTTGTGTAATAAATATGGGATACGGTGGGGTTGCTAGTTTCCCATTGCAAGATTCTTTGAAGTTGTGGACTAACAAAGTGCTTTTTACAGTTCAGTTTTTCGAATGTAAATATGTTTACATTAAATGCTTCACCAAAATGTCTAGGTGCTTTTGGCTTGTTTTCTGAAAAAATTTATTTGCAGTTTAATTGTTCCTTTTAAAGACTACATTTTATTTATTTTAATGCAGTTTTGCTTTCATTATGTTGACTGGAAAATCTGAAAATAGTCTAAATAAATCCAATCACTTTCATTATGAGGTCCAATTTGACTGAAATTCATAATCAAGCACTGACAATTTATCATACTTGAATATAATTGGCTGTTTTATTTGTTTCTACAAACCATATAGGAGTGTAATGTAGTTTTTATAGTTAGATTTTATTTTTATATTTTCTGTTTTCTTTAAATCTTAGTTTTATTCGTTTTGTTTTGTTTTGTCACATTTATCACTTTCTAAAATACGTCTATATAGTTTTTATACATTTATTTTATATAATTATTGTTTCATTAGTTTATTTAGTTTATTGTAGTACTTAAATGTAAATTAAATGAAAATAAGTAACGAAAAGTATTTCTTCATGGTTTGTTTTAGTTAACTATAATAACCCTGCTACGTAGTCACTATAGTCGAACACGCACTGAATATGATTTTTTATTATAAATCAGCACTTTTAAGTTTTGAATAATAGTACAGAATGGGATACAACTATATTATACATACATAAAGTACGTGCAATATATGTACTTTTATGTTGGACATATACTCATATGTTAGTAACGATAACCATAATATATCCATAGCACGGTTTTTTTATTTATAATTTTTTTTATTTTTTACCTTTGTAAATACAGTGGAAGTACATAATGACATCACGTGATAATGCCGTGATATAGTCATTGTACATGTTCAGATAACCATGGTAGCAGTTTTTGTTAGTATAAACCTAATGTAAAGTTCAATAACTCATTAAAGGGGTCATATGATGTTGCTATAAATAACATTATTTTGTGTATTTGGTGTAATGAAATGTGTTTATGTGGTTTAAGGT